ATACATGTATGTCACACATAGACTGGTGAATATGAATGCTAGGTATAATGTATAACTGCCATAGAAAACATATTCTGTGTTCATGTCACTCTGTTGTCATGATATCTGACACCAACCATAATCAAAAACACGCAGACTGTCGGCTGGGATAGCTCCGCTGTTAGCAATGCACATTGCAATTAAAGAACAGAAGATATCATTAGAAAATGAACAATATGTATAGTATCAAAGCAATCGGACTTGCTGTTTTCAACAAGAATTCAAAAATATCACTTTTTACCAAAAATATTCACCAAAATTAGAGAATTGAAGATATCATCACAAAATGAACAAATCTGAGAGAGGTCCACAGGTAGTACCGATATACAATGTATGTAATATCAAAGCAATTGGACTTGCGGTTTTTAACAAGAAGTCGAAAATATCACTTTTTACCAAAAATGACAAAAATATTCACCAAAATTAGAGAATTTCAAGAAGAAGTCGAAAGACTAAAACATTGACACAGAATCCAACTTGCCGATAAATAAAGTGCAGTGTGCAACGTCAGTTAAAACAATCCCTTTGTTGTGGTGATAGTATTCAAAGGAATATAACTTAAACAAAATAATTTTCTGAACGAGATATATTTTGAAATTTCTAAAGATGAAGAGAATGGGTTTCTGCTGATGTATCATGCAAGCAGTCCTTTACTAGTAAACTATGAAGAGATTACAATATACCTGATAACCTTTGATTTCCACACCACCATACAAAGTAGGTTCACCCCACTCTATGGTAAAATGATCACTGTGTATAGAAGTACAGCATAGCATTGGAGGATCTGGAGATCCAGGACATTGGTATGTCAGGTTTTGTGATGGCGAGAAATAATAGTCATCGTCATAGATCGGCTGTACACTGATATCATATATCAACCTAGAATGGCAAAAACAATCTTATAATCACCAAAACACTTTAAACAGTGTATATACACTTGTGATGCAGTCCTATAAGCAAAGTATACCTTACTATTATTTGTTGAAATGGTTAAATTCTTGGCACATATCATTGCCCGGACTCGTAATGGGAAGTGCGCCCTCACATCAGAGCAACAATTCCTGTATCTAGCCCGGCATTCATCAAACAAAACGCGTCATTCTAAATTACGTTGTGTGTTTGTGGTCATGCCGTGGTAAAATTGTAATTAAATCTATATGATAAAACCTTTATGGATTGAATATGGCTTTTGCTACCCTCGGTCGTACGGCTTACACATCCTTTCAAGCCCGGGTGTTCAGCCATATTCAGTCCATAAAGATTAATGTCAACTTGTCATTGATATCATCACAAGCATGCAAGTCACAGATACTGAAAGTGTCCATTTTCATAAATCCTGATATTGGCACTATTATGGTCTTGTGACATTATCAGAAGTGTACATTTAGCATCCATACATACTAGGCACATACATAAATCTTACCTTTCTGTTTTGATTGGTAATTCATAACTAGTAGCATTGGGTGGTAGTGATTTAGTATGCTCTTTGTCATCATGACTTGATACATAACTCACATCAAAGCCTTGAATACCACTAGTACTACTGGGTGTGTGGGAATCACTGGATTTCTGTGTACACCACTCTATGTTTATGAAACCATACCTGGAAAGAAATACATAATATGATTTATGACAATGCTGTAATTATTTTAACCAATAGAAAACATTATCTCAAACAATATTTTTTACTTGAAATAATCTTGCAGTTGCTTGGAAATGTATCAAATAAACTACAGGTAAAAAGAGATTGAATGTTTTGAAAGAGAAAAAAATATACCTGTGTTCATTGGCATTCTTTTTACTGGCACTTCTGGTGAATTTAGCTTCAAGTGAAACAAGAGCCCCTGAAAATCAGCAAGACAGAGAACAAGATT